GCGAATCATATGATCCTGATGAAAACTAGCTTGATGATATTCCCATGTGTCCTCGGGAGCGCTTCTCTCTATATAAGAATTTGTACAGGCTTGTCCTTTGCTACAAAAAGGATTGGGCCACCTTGCTGCACTTTATTTACTTGTATTACTTGTTTCTCGTTACAAATTATCTTATCACAAAACTATCTGTTACCTATAATTTCAGTGCTTGCAGAGAATATCTTGCTAAAAACCGCTTATCATTTCCTTCTGCTCCTCGTTGGGTTCGACACTCTTACTTATCGAAAGGACTACGATAGATCCCCTATACTTGTGGGTCATCACTCTACCTGGAGCATCTCTCTTGCGGCCACTTCTTCCCGTGGTCGTGCCACCTATGCGGCCTTGTTGGCCTCCTCCTTTTTCATCCTTTCTCCTTCCAGCTTTGTGGCCCAAATATAGGTTGCAATTCAGGAATGTAGACATGGGTATGAAAGGTGCAAATCTGGAGTCGTGCAATCTCATGTGAATGAGTCATCATTGACTCCTCATGGAGGAACTTGAGCTTGGGCTCGGTGAGTGGATCTGAAATAGTTTGGGATGTGAGGAGGTGGCGGCCGCACCTTTGAAAACAAGGTGGCAACCACTCTTCTTCACACCTCCTACCCTCATGACCAACTATGAATCGGCTGGCTACTGTAGAGGATAAACCAGGGACCCATGTTTCTCCCGGTACACAACTGTGTATGCATCCATCTTCTCCTTGGTTGAGTCACTATAATACCCTGGGCCCCCTTTCCCCTATGGCCATGTGCCCACGCCTGCATGATGCTAATGTGGCACCCATGGTGTTGTCTCACTTGCAAGAGAACGGATCATGATTAATAAACATATATGCACCTAGAGACAAAATTGACCTTGGAGTTGCAGATACCATATTTTGGTGGTGAACTGTCAGAGTGAGGCCGCCCAGGACGTGTGACGGGCCCTTCATCCACGGTTGCTCCTCCCTTTTTCTAATGTGCTGCACCTGCCACGTAGGGTCGCACCACATATCCGTGAATGTCGCCCAACAATCAGCTGGGATCCATGGCTCCATCACCGCTACTCAGACAAAATACATCATATGACGAATAGAAGAAACAAGCAGCTACTAATGTAAGTAGTACCAAGCAATGATGTTACTTACCGATAAGTACTCATCTTCCTCCCCTCGTCTTCCGGGGGGCGACATCTCATCTCGGTCGTGTATCACACAATGTGCTTCACGTCAGAGAGACGGTTCTTGGAAGCTCTCTCTGCCATCAGGCGTGCCTCAACCAGGTGCCCATCTTGGCAGGTAAAGTGTTCCAACAACATTGCAAATAGTAGTTAAATATTTACCAAGCATCGAATATGGACCAATGCAGGGTGGAATATACCTACCCGCATACCTCGGTAGATCCGATGGGACTTGTTGTCACACTCGTCATCCCAGGCGGCATTGTACTTCTCCCAAGTGAATCATGGGGGTGATTACACCTTGTCATTCAGCTTGTCCATGTTAGGGAAGTTCTCCTTCAGAAGAGCACCAATGATGTGGTTCACTTGCTGGTGGTGTGAAGCCGCTTGAACGAGTTCCCACTAACTACACAATGAAAATGAATGTCATATGTCAGTGTTCAAATAGTATATGCCAATAACTTGTAAGGACATCATTTACTTGTCTCAGCAGGATCAAACAACAGGCTGGTGCTCAAGAGGCGTGAGCTTTGGTACCTCCGACTAACCACATCCAGATCGCTTCTTCATACCTGTAGAGCTAGAGGCAGACGCCTCCTCGTCCTCACACACCATCTCATGCACCTCCTCCTCCTCCTCCTCGTCAAGAGTGTAGATATCGTGGTCCTCCATGGCAGCGGGTATAGAACCACTTGAGGAATAGTAGCCATGGTCGCCACTGCCAGAAAGCCTCATTGATTTCACGAGTCACTTGATGCTTGAAGAAGCACCTTCTATAAGAAAGACATAACCAAAAGAACACATATTAATATCATCATCACAATAACATGGAAAAATTCAAGAAAATCTTCCCATCCCTGATGTCTTTGAAATAAACAATTTAAATAAAAAGAAACATGGAAAACAAGTTGTCATGGCACATATCATATGCACAAGAACTGATAAATACTTCAGTGCAAGTAGAGCTAGCATGGTACATTAGTACCACATTAACATCATACAAATCTTAATTAAATGGTACATTCACTAATGCACTGCATTACCTACTACGTCAACACTACATCTATATCAAACTATCTGGCTATATTACTCTGATAATGGAGCTCTACTCTAGATCGAAGTCTGAGAAGCTGGGCAACGAGTAGTCAGAGTCGGAGGGGACATGTAGAGCCCCCCTCCCCCTACTAGTGGGGCTCACCTTGTGATCATTGGCGGTTGACCGAATCCATGGCAACGGGTCATTGCTCTCCTTCAGCTCGTCGACGAACTTGTCAAGCTCGGTGAAATACTTATGTTTCTCGACACAACGGTGGGCCTTCTCCTAGTGATTGGCCTTGACCTCCCATTCTTCCTTGATGGACTAGAGGAGAGCGTCGTTCTCATGGAGAGCTGTGGGTCCACCTGAAAAAGTGATGCCAAGTAGTCCTCACTCGAACGCTTGGCGGCGAGCTGCGCATGGGCCATATAGTCCTCTTCGTCCTCATCCAATGAGTCAACCGTAAAGGGAGCATAGTCGTTTATTTTTAGAAATTATTTAGATCAGTTTCATTGAACTAATGAAAAGGTCACAATATGTAGTTATGAAGAAGATGAATTAATTAGCTAATTAAATTAGTTCATTAGAGTACCAAAAGCAAAAAGTATAAGCATTTTCACGGTAAAGCTATGGGTGCCACTTTAGTGTGTACGTGTAAGCAGATAATTTTATATCTCTATATAAGGACATCTCCAACACGGACTTTTAAAACAGACACACTATCTATTTTTGGAAGGGTCCGTGGATAGTGATACGGGAGCCGGCTATTCAACCCTATCAAACGTCTAGACACATTTCAAAGGAAATTGGAACAAACCAGGAAAATTTCATGCAAATTGGACAATTTTCATTTAAACAAAACCGATTCATTAAATTTTTGACATATTTCAACTAACCAAAAGTGCACGACACTTTTTTAACCTTGTGTAAATGTTCGCGGCCATGGCGGCGGCCGTGTCCCATTTCCTATCTTCCCCATATTCGGCAAGCTCACCGGCCATGAGCCCGAGGAAGTGAAGCGGCGAGAAGGGAATAATAAGACGTGGGGGCACAACCCACATGGGACACCAGGCGTTCCCATGTCCCATGTACTTCTCTTCCTCAATGTAGTTCGTCGTGTCTTTGACGCCGGCTATAGACGGACCGACCTCATGATCGTTGCGGCGAAAAGCAAACCGCGTGGGCGGTGCGTCCGACAGGAAGCTTGCGACATCCGTTGTCGTCTACGGCTCCTCTTTGTTTGCCTCCACACCGATCTTCATGAATAGAGTGTCCCTCTTCACCCATAAGATACGCAGCTGCTATCGCTTGTGGCGAATGTCGCAGGCGCTGTGCATGGACTGGTACAACGCCCACTGCTCATCGAGGAAGCCCATATCCTTCGTGACCATGGCCACGACGACATCGTCGTTTTCCTGCTCGCCGGCGATTTGCCCCTCCACGAGCAAGTGCTCGTTGAGGAGATGGAGGTTGTAGTGTTGGTCCTCCTGCGTCTGCCGGAATGCCCACACAGGCGGAGCCAGCTGCTTTTCCACCATGACGGTGTTGAAGTGCGTCTACGCGGGCGGGGGCGCCGGCTCATCGTTGGATGCCTACTCCGTCGTCTCACCGCTGACCTCCGGTGCGCTTGCCCGCAAGCCAGCCTCAGTCCGCCACACATGATGGGCCTGCCAGTCGGTCGCAATGCCGGCCAACTCCTGCTTTTGCTTCGTCTAGAGACTCTCCCACATCGCTCTAGAGCTCGCGATCATGGCGGATGTGGATGTGTTGTGGAGTGGGTCGTGCCGGTCAAGGAGGCGGCATTTGGGTGTCGGCCAGGCCAAGCGGCAGGTTGTATCAATGCGGGCGCCAGAGTGGGTTTCTCGGTCGCCCCTCTTGTTTAATGCCGGCAGGCGGACGGACTGGAGCCGGTTTGAATGCTCCGTCGAGAGTCTCTCCTACATTGCTCCAGTCATGTCCGGTCACACATCTCTGGAACATGCATGGAGACCGAGTGTCCCTCTTGCCCAGCATGCCGCTTCAATGTTGACTCCAGTGAGAGGTCGCTTCCGTTCTGAGCCAGCATTAATGTAAAGAAAACGCTCTAGAGCTGTGCTGACCGGCATGAATGTGCAGCAACTACTTCGTGCGGGAGAGGCAGCGGGCGCGGGCTCGGTTTTTGGGTGGGTCTGGGTGTCAGACGCGTACGTGACAGAGGTCTGGATGTCCGCAAAGATCCCCTGGTTCGCGTCCAGTTTTTAGAATTTTGGATATCCCGACTGATCATGTTGGATGACACACTGGGTCCGGACAGCTACGTCCAGACTTAGGCCAGTGTTTGAAGGGTCCGTGTTGAATATGTCTTTATACTGTACGTTAGCAAGTGAATCAATAGCCAGGATATAGTCGATCAATGAATCTGATAATATTTAATACACGGATGCACAAAAGTGGCCAATCTCTACTTCGTTAGCAAGTGGTTCTACACTCTCGATCACACGTAAATCCACGGATAAATGTCAGTGCCCCGCTCTGCGGGTGGGGGTAGCTAATCAAATGTGACAAAGAGATATAGCAAAGCTCGGTCCCGGTTTGATCATATCCTAGCTAACAGCCAACCATAGCGGTGCATGGAGTTATCGAACGTTGAAACTTCTAAAATTGGAGATAGGCATAGGCGTGCATGCATACATGTCTTGCCTCTTCTATAAGTACGGCAATTCTAGCAGCGATATCATCTCACCCCAAGCTAGCTATTATAACTCGATCAAACTGATCATCGCCAATGGCGATCAAGTCTCTAGTTCTTCTTGGTGTCGTACTAGCCTCGCTCCTGCTTCTCTCCGAGGATGTAGCGGGTGCTAGAGAGCTTACAGATGCTAAAGGTTTGTAAAACATGCTCTCTCTTATAGTACGTATTTACTAACACAGTAGACTACACAACTCATACTTCATCCTATATATGCACGGCTACCTATCTACCTCGAGCAATGTTCACTACTTGCCTACCTCATGCAATGTTCACTAAGGAATTGTGTTCATGCAGAATCCAAGGAGAAGAATGTGAAACCTGCAGGAGGGTCGGGCCTGCCTAAGGAAGAGAAGTGGGGAGGTGGAAACAAGCATGATGGAGGATACAGAGACGGTGAAGGGTATGGAAACGGTGGAGGGTATGGCGCTGGTGGATACGGTAATGGTGGGGGATATGGAAACGGTGGCGGAGGTTATGGCTATGGAGGTTATGGAAACAATGGTGGTGGGTATGGTGGAGGATACGGCAATTCTGGGCACGGTGGCGGTTATGGGCGTGGTTACGGCGGTGGAGGCTATGGACCCGGATATGGTGGCGGGTATGGCAATGGCGATGGAAATGGTGGATTTGGCAGCGGCTTTGGTGGGGGATATGGTGGTGGCGGCGGATATGGTGGAGGTGGAGGATACGGTGGTGGTGGCGGATATGGTGGAGGTTACAACGGAGGATCTGGTGGCGGTGGCTATCCCTGATATGGATATGTGCAAGAGCCAAGATGTTACAATGGTTGGAACTATGAAAACAACAACTAGATATGTGTTTGTGTTTTAACTAAGCATCTTTGTTGAAATGTGATGTGGTTAAATAAAAGTTGTTCCTTATGCTCCCATTAATAGGAGCAAGGTCTGTAAGGTTGAGAAGTCAGGCGAGCAAACCAACTTGTGTTGTTTTTTATCTTATGTATCAAACAGAAGATATCTTTTAAATTGTAAGTGTCTTTGATTATTGTATTTTATTAGAACATGAGGAGATATATGTGCCTATGTATTATGATAGAAAGAATCTATGATCTAGATGAGTAGCCCCATGGCGCCAACAAGGGTGGCAGCCCGAACGGTCAACAACAAGGGACTTATGGTACTACTCTTCTTAAAGTATTGTTTCCTACTGTCCGTCACTCATGACGATGATCAATTACTCTATCGACTACCGCAAGGGAGCAAAGAGGTGTGCTTGAAGACATGCCGGCTCCGCTCAAGTCAAATGCACCTTAGCAAGGAAATCACCGCCGAGTTGACGCCCTCACGAAAGCTTTGGTGGGATGGATAGTTGTCAAGAGGTCCACCATTGAAGGATATAATCATTCACCGTTAGGGCACGACGACCAAGAGCCCGAGAACGATCCAGCGAAGTACACCATTTGATAAGTAAAAACAGTGGAAATCATAGCCATCTTCGATCAAAAGCACCTCACTTTTTTTCCAAATCGGTCTTCAACCGAGCCATTGTTTCAAACATGTTGACTTGAAATTTCTAACATATTTATCATAGTTTAAGAACAATATGATATCATCAGCATATCTACATATGACAACACAGCTAGGATTTAGGAATGATATAGAGGTTGACATAAAGAAAAGGAATGCCAAGATATGCAACATGAATACATGACATGGTAGTTTGGCGGGGAAAACGATTTTCTGGCCTGCCTATCTAATCCATTGAATCGACCTAAACTGTAATCTCCCAATCAAACTCAACCAAAATCATCACAATGATTTCTGTTTAATACCAAGGACCACTGGCGCCACATCAAGAGTCCTTCGCACATGCACCCTCATGCTTAGCCGCGGGTGTACAAGCACAGAGGCCTAAGTAGTGCCTGAAGAAGGCAGAGAATTGATGCCCAACCATTTCATGATCAAATTCTCCAATTGCAAATCTTCGACTACCAGAAAATCATCAGCATTACATCATTCAAGGAACCACGAGCAATATGTGCAATCATCTACAGATTAGCCACAAGTCGACGTGGCACCATATGAATTTGATGGCGAGTTGGATAGCCTTTTTCACTTGTCAAGCAAATGTTTTTTAACATGGTACAATCGAAGTCGCTCACATACATGAGCATACACTCACCCTTATGAACGCATGCACACCCTATCCCTATGAGCATCCTTGATAGACTAGGCAGCATAGCATCTTGAGATTTACGAAGTCATCTTAGGCGCCTCACAGTCGACAGAAACATCTCATCGCACTAAACGAACATCGGTCGGAAGCCCTGAAATAAATCTAGGACATGAACTCTGGTGGGCTGAGGTCCTCTTAACCATCCAACTACAGGTTGATTCACAACTGGTCAAGAAAATGTTGTTCTCATAATTCTTGCTTCAATACAAATGTGGTATTTAAATAGATCGAACGGCTATTACCCAAGGAGACATGAGGTCAGTTTTTGCTTTGGGTTCTTCAGGCTAGTTGTTACTAGACCATTGGGTTGGCCCGAGTTCCTCAATAGAGCAAAGGGGCTATCAGGAAAGGGGGTCACATGAGGCCTTCAGTTGACGCCTGTTAGCGTCTATGAGGGAAGACCCAAAATCACTAGCAAAGGGGTGCCTGATGAAGCTATGTATCTAGGGTAGGGTCATAGGCCTGACCTGGACGCCCTCCTCAAGGTCAGCACCCTGAAGCCAGAAGCATTCAAAGGGTACCATCATCCACTCGACCAGAGGCATTCCACTCGGAAGAATCAATGACACTCGACCATCACAGAAACCACTCGACGTACAGAAGACCTAAAGCCACTCTACGCAACAACAGTCAGGCGTTTACTCATAGAATTAATTATCGTTTATATCACTTAATTGCTAGCGTTACCAGTAACGTTCCATTCTTAATGTACATTGAACCCCGTGTAACGGAGGAGAGCTGGGGTCCTGGCGCACTCTATATAAGCCACTCCCTTCCTCTGGGACAAGGGTTCACATACTTTGTAAACATACACATATACACAATCTAGTCAATCGCCTCTGGGCACCGAGACGTAGGGCTATTACTTCCTCCATGAAGGGCCTGAACTCGTAAACTCCTGTGTACAACTACTCCATAGATAGGATCTTGCCTCCTCATACCTACCCCTATTCTATTGTCAGTCTTAGATCCACGACAGTTAGCGCCCACCTTGGGGCAGGTGTCTTAGCAGTTTGTTGGAGAAGTTGCGATTTTTCCGATTCCCATCATCATGGTTTCCGGCGGAGGGTTGGCTGAGGGCCGTGATATCCATCTTGGCGTGCTCGTCTTCATCGCCGACAGCTCTGCTTGGCTCCACGAGGCTCCACTCGACGTCAACACGCTCCCCGTCCACAGAGCAACGCACTTCCGCGCGTGCGTCCGCGGCGTCCTTCTTCGACAGCCGTCGACTCAGTATCAGTCGGCTCCTACGATGTCCTTGCTCCCCTCTGCTCGCCGGTGCAAGCGATCCGGTCGGTCACGACTCCAGTGGTGGGTGAGGCATGTGGTGGCCCACCAATCGGCCACCCCACAAATCGCGGCAATTGAGCCCGATGAAACTCTCTACGGCCTGTTCGACCTGTCGGCTGGCTCCATCGAGACTGCATCCGAGTGCGACAGCAGTGACCCCGCGATGGAAGTCTTGATGGTCAATGGACCACGTAGTCCTCCCGGCTTCCCCCGCGACGACGGTGGCGATGGCGTCGGCGATCCGTCGCGCGTCCACGAGGAGTACCGCCCCGAACCCCTCTCTTCGCAGCAGAGGGAAGATCTTCGCCGCCGCAATATGGATGTACTTCACACTCCTATCGTGGAGAAACCCCCGAGACCCGTGTAGGGTAACGCAGCAGAAAACAAAAATTTTCCGACCTACGCACCAGCACAGGACCACTATGGAGACTACATACATGGTTTGATCTTTTTCGTTACCGACTCGTAGCGCAGCGGGAAGTAGAGTCGATGATGATCGGCGGTGCAGATCCCCGCAGCTAGGATTTACAACCTTCCAACCGCGAGGATGTATACCTCATCTGCTCCTCAGACAGCTCTCCGGGAGGCGGTCGAATAGCCCCCCGGACGGTGTCGCGGACAGCCCTTCGGGAGGACCTTCGAAACTCGAACGGTCACTCGGACAGCCCTTCGGGAGGACCTTTGAAACTCGGACGGTCACACGGACAGCCCTCCGGGAGGCACTCATGAACTAAGACCGAAACTACGATCTCTCTACATAGTTGCACACATACGGTGTCATCTATCCGGCAGGGCTTCACCGTCCAGAACTAGTTCCTGCCGGAACCCAGACAACCTTTCGGCTCTACGAAACTATTTCTTGGGGAGGGAGAGAGAAGCCAGATCATTGCATGACACTTGTATGTGAGAATGGAAGAGGAGGATGGCAGCCCCTTCTCCTCCTTTTATAGGCCAAGGCAAGGGGTGGGGTGATGGAGGAAATACCAAAACACCCATGCTACATGTCCCACATGAAGGGTGAAATGGTAACTCCAGTGGGGCACCAAGGGGACACCATGGAGGCACCCCCTTGGCCAGCCACAACCTTGCCCCCTCCCATGGGGGGGGGGCAACAAGCCACCAACATGTCTCCTAGAAACATGGGTGCTCCCTAGACAAAAAGCCACCAAACATGTAACCCCCGATTCATGGGATCTCGTCCCCTCGTGCTGAGACAAGATGTTTTCCGCAAAACAGTTTTTCTGAAAAATTCCGGAAGGTCCCAGAACATTTCCGGCACCCTCTAAAATTCTTCTGGGCATGATCCGAAACATTTCCGGTGTGGTGATTTTTATCAGCGAAAAGCAATAACGGCGGTTACCACAGCTCCGGAACATTTTCGGTTTTTCTCTCCGAAAATTCCCAAAAGTTCCCAGACCAATTCTGGGGCCCTCTAAGAATTTCCAAGCGAGTGCCGAAACCATTTTGACCTAATAATATATTCCTAAACAACTTTTCGGTTTTACTGAAACTCTTTCGGTGTTCTCTCTCCGGAACTCTTCCGTTGTCTCCGAAACTTTTCCGGTGACTTTCTCTCAGACTCCCTGTCTAGTATTCAGTAGATAGATGACCCTTAAGCGTGTGACCCTATGCTACCTCTTGAGCACTGCGTTGGTTTTCCCCGAAGAGAAAGGGATGATGCAGCAAAGTAGCGTAAGTATTTCCCTTAGTTTTTGAGAACCAAGGTATCAATCCAGTAGGAGGCTACGTGCCAGTCCCTCATACCTGCACAAAACAAATAAATCCTCGCAACCAACGTGATAAGGGGTTGTCAATCCCTACACGGCCACTTACAAGAGTGAGACCTGATAGATATGATAAGATAATATTTTTGGTATTTTTGTGATAAAGATGCAAAGTAAAATAAAAGCAAAGGAAATAACTAAGTATTGGGAGATTAATATGATGAAGATAGACCCGGGGGGCATAGGTTTCACTAGTGGCTTCTCTCGAGAGTATAAGTATTCTACGGTGGGTGAACAAATTACTGTTGAGCAATCGACATAATTGAGCATAGTTATGAGAATATCTAGGTATGATCATGTATGTAGGCATCACGTCCGAGACAAGTAGACCGACTCCTGCCTGCATCTACTACTATTACTCCACTCATCGACCGCTATCCAGCATGCATCTAGAGTATTAAGTTAGTGAAAACAGAGTAACGCCTTAAGCAAGATGACATGATG